AAGTGAGTTGGGGTTGACCCACAAGCTGCCTGACAGCGAAGTGAGATCTTTTGAGAAGGGCCTTCCAGATCGATCAGCATAGTGCTGCTCGTGTGTCTGAAGCCCCCTCATGCAGTTCGATGTAACCAGCCAGGGCACAAGCTTGCTGGGGGGTTGATTGCGAAGCAATCATGGGGTTTGCGAGCGTAACATTGGATCCGTCGAGCAAATACCAGCGCGCGAGTGAGGGCAGTTTGGGCAGGCGTGATGATTGCGACAAATCCACAACCCAGTCCTGCGTGTGCTGCCAGGGCGTCGGGAACAAGCTCTCGGGCAGAATGATCGTCGACCTCGTCTTGCGCATCACCTGGCGCGCATGATTGCCAATGGGGCCAGGCCCCCATCCACGTTAGAACATGACTGTGTGCAGAAAGGGTGGTCTTGCTTTGCTGTGTGTTTCTGATGCAGCACACTCTTCATCGGCAGTGTGAGTTTTTCGATTGATGGCATCACGCAAGAGCTAAACACGTTTGTTTTGGCACGTTGTGGACCTCGACCCAAGACAGTAGATTGTCCATTTTGACCCACAACACAGTTTGAAATTTCAAGTTGCAAAATCTGGTCATGTGTTGGGTTGCTTGGTCTTCGCATGATACATGCAAGATAGAATCGGCCTAGTGAGTTGGAGCGCCATGGATGACTTGATGGACCTGCTGACCTATGAGTGCCCAGTCACCAAAAAGCAACGTGTGGCTGGATGGGGTGTTCCAGCGCCTACATCTAACTCCAATGAGAACCGTGGCTCGAATTCATGGTTTTTCAATCTGTGGTAGGCCAAACATTTTTGAGGGTGTGTGGGTCTTTGAACAACAACCAAGGACACGTCTTGAACACCCGCATGCAGCAGTTGATAATCCTGACCCTGATCTCTACATGGAGTATTTGATTTCCAGGGCAACTCATTTGCAATCTCTGGCCCTCTGTCCTTGGAGACGTTGTCGATCAGCCCAAGAGCGCCTCAATTAAGCAAGGCAGTGTTCTTCCGGACACCAAGGAACAAGAGGGGGGCCAGCTTTCTCTGGAAGATCTTGGGGCTAGCTTCGAGGATACTACTTCCTTTGACTGGGAGCTCGCCCGTTCTCACGGTCTTCTGAAACGCTGCATCGAGACATCTTCTTCAAGCAATGCTACGTGTGGAAGAATTTTGTCACACGCGAAGGATCAAGTGACTTTGTTTCGAGAAACGATTGGCATTAGATTGTGTGTTTTCAAGATTGGCGTGACTTCCAATCCAGTAAGCCGCTTTGCGCTGTACAAAAAGAGTGGCTTCACTTCGATGTGGGTCATTGCCACCTCTGATAGCACTGACCTTATCCACATGTTGGAGGCTGCCTTGATCTCAGAATTTGGCAAACATGTTGGCTGCAGGAACAAACCTGGGTCAGGTGGGGAAGGGGCCCTCAATAGGGCAAACCCTCCCAAGCCGCCTTACTTTGCATATGTGTCGGGTGGACGGGCTGATCAGCCTCGAAGAGTGGGGTGAAGCCTAGCTCAAACTGCAGATGTTTCAGTCCCACTTAGTCAGCGGCCATTGTGTCCAAATTTTGAAGGCTTTCTGTCCTGGGGAAAAAGTGCTGCACGTGTGAGATGTGTGAAATTGCAAGACTGCGCATTGCATCTGCGGGTTTTTTTGCCTAGGGTGTGTCACGCGGCCCCCGGCCCAGGCCCCAGCCAACCACGTGGTGGCGTTGGCGAAAGCGGAGGTGGACAATAATCTGGGCGCGTGCCCTGCTATGCGTGCTTTGGCAAGGCTTCGGGAACGTGATGCTGAGAATGGCGTACATGAAGTGCTAGCAAGATTTGGGCTTGCTGCCCCCATTCCCCTGGACCATGTCGATCTAGGCCCAGGGGCCCTGCGCAATTTTCCCTACATGAAGCTGAGCAATTGGGTGAAGTTTCTCTTGGACTCTGGTAGGTTAAGGCAGCTTTGTGGTATCCCTGATGTGGAGCACATGAAGGCTGTCCTGACAGAGTTCTGGAGCCGTTTTCGCCAAATGGATGAAACACACCAAGTCTTCCAGCTTGCTTCGGAGAACGTCCTCGAGCTGAGTTTGACCATCCCCATTTACTCACACGCTGATGAAGGTAGGTCGTACAAACATCAGGCGCTCTGGGTACTGTCCTCTCACGGGGCCTTGGGAAGGGGAACCAGGGCATACATCAACAGGAACAAGCACCGTACACCATTGCGAAGAAACCAAATGGGCCTGAACTTTGTGGGCCAGACCTGGAGCACCCAGTTTACATTTTGCACCTTGCTACGTGCTGTTGCCAATCAATACCCGGACTCGCTTGACACCTTAACAGCTCTCTATGCCGAGGACTTGGAAAGATTGGCCCATGAGGGAGTTGTATCAACAGATGGCGCTCTGCGAGTTTGGTGCGTGCACATTGGTGTGAAGGGCGACCTGCCAGCCCTAACTAAATTAGGGGGATTCAAGAGGTCCTTCTCCCATGTGGCCAAGGCACCTTCCTCAAAGAAACCCAGCCAGGGTGTCTGCCCATATTGCCTCGCGGGCGTGGAGGGCGACAACAACGCATCGCATCAGCCGTGGGAGGATTTTTCCAGTCAGCCAAAATGGGCACGAACGATGCAGAGGGGTGTTCCATGGGACCACCCACCTTCAATCATGAAAGGGGCTTTGGTTTCTCCTGGGAAAGAGTCTTCATTTTTCAAATTGGACATTTGGCACAACTTCCACTTGGGAGTGTCCAAGCACTGGCTCGGTTCATCCCTGATTGCAATCATGGAATCTGCTGACCTGCCATTTGAACATGGCACGCGCTCTGTGGAAGCAAAGCTGGAGTGGATGACCCGGGACTATTTGAAGTTCTGCGGGGACAAACGTATCTCACCCTTTGTGACAGAACTGTCTCGTGAGTCACTGGGCTTTCCAACCGGCTCAGCCTCCCCAATTGGGCATTGGAACAAGGGCGCAGCATCCACCCACATCATGCTCTACCTCGAGAACATTTGTGAACGTTTCATAAAGGGGAAAACTGAAGAGCCGACCCTTTGTGCGATTGAGCCTTGGTTTGAATGACTGTTGACTCTAAAATGTTTCTGTCCCACTGAGTGCCTGAAACAAATTGTTTTACCCTAGCAGCGCTATAACTCCCCCAACATATTTTTGCTTTGATATGGCGCGTGATCATGCAAACATTCAAGTTCCCGGTGGTCATTGGTGACAGGAAGTCCCACAGCCTTTCAACAGTTTTGTTTCTTGATTTGTTTTTTAGCTTCAGCAGGTGCCCATGTGAGCACGCATTCTTTGGGTTTTGAAATGGCCAGTGATCTTTTTGACAATCTCAGGAACTGGGCACGCGGATGATGAACACAGTCATTGCATACCTCTACACTCAGGGCTTCTGGCTTCAAAGTGCAAAGGGGGTCCGGGTGAGCGCTATGATCATGGTCTTCCTGCAGTGCTACGCGAAGTGTGCAAGCCTTGCGTTCGAAAGACGGCGGAATAGATTCGCCTTGGTCCCCAAGTTGCACTACTTGCACCACTGTGCTTTTCGCTTGGCGGTGGAAGCCCATCACCCGTGGGCAGTCAACCCTTTAGGGGAGTCTGTGCAAATGCAGGAAGACTTTATAGGGCGACCGTGTCGGGTGTCACGAAGAATCAACATCCGGCAGCTCCACATGCGAGTTGCTCAGAGATCTTTGATCTGCTCCATGCAAGCGCTGGAAGCATCAGATCAGGATCTTAGGGGCTTGCACCCATGAGGCTTTTTGAGGAGCACGTCAGAATAAGATTTCAAACCTCCTTCAATGAAATGTGGCGGGCTTCCTGGGCCCTTTTGAGATAACTTTGATCATCGTCATGCATGGGCCTGATGGGTCCACCCACTTTGCACACTTACATGCAGGGGTGGCCTGTAAGTGTGGCAACGCCAAAAGGCGAAAGCTTGTGTGAATCCCGGCGCGGCGCCTTGCAGTGGTCAGAGGCCACGGAGTGGGAGGGGCAGCGGCTTGCAAACGGCGCTCGGCAGGCAAACCCCAAAAGCAAGAAGCCATCCCCAACAGGCTTACAAGCCAAACCTCACATGATCAAAGTGTTCATGGCTTTGCGTCTTCTGTTTAGTCGCAGCAAATGTGATGCCTAAAATAGGGAAATGATGTCTTTTTCCAAAGGGGCGTCTTTTAAAGAAAAGGCCGGAATTTGTTGGAGAAAGGTGGGGGGATGCGTTTTTGAAGGCCAAACCGGCCCCAGGTAATTATATACATATAATATATATACATATATATACCAATTTACTCTGGGAGTAGTGGTTTGGGGGAAGTGAAACCCATCTTAGACCCTGGCCAATGCACCTGTCCATGTTGGTGTACTTGCAACATGGGCTCGAACTCAGCCCAAGCTTGCAAGTCTTAGAGGACTACCATTTCCAAGAGTTCAAACGCCGCGGCAACACGACTCTGGAAATGACCATATTCAACATGTGTCACTGGATTTCCCCAATTCAAAAGTTGATCAATTGACTGGAGGTGTCCCCTAAACCAATCTCGTGGCAAGTTCCAAGCTCGCCTCACCGAAGTGAAATAAGTCATAATCAAAACCTGGCATTAACATGTCCCACCCAAAACCGTGTAAAGAACCAACACGGATATCCGCACCCATTCATGGTTGGGAGTATTCATCCCTAACCTGCGTCTACACGGGTTGTTTTCACAACCCTTGGTATTGGCTTGAAAAAAACTAGTAGTTGTTTGGCAACCCTCACAGAACCAAAAAGCAAAAGATGTGGTTCAAGAACAGTGAAGTTAGATGTCAGGAGCAGTCCTTGACTTCCATTTGCTTAATTCAGACCCCCCCCTGCAGAAAGTTTAACTTTTTGGGGCTTAGTGGAAAACCCCTTGATTTCCCCAAAAGTTAAAGTCTAAAGACCCAACCCAATAGCAGTCAAGTAAAAATCGGTCCCCTATCACATCAACGGGGGAACATGACTCCAATGGCCTTGGCCGCTGGGGGGTTGGCGCCGGCGCCGAAGCGGAAGCCTGGCGCCGACAGGCGAAGATTCACCACATCCGGCCCACACAAGCAAATAGCGCTGGAGGAGACCAGAATGAGCGCAAACCAGCAAAGGAACTGTCCACAAGCAAGCCTTCGCAGGGTGCGGGGAGCGCATGAGTCATGAGCATGGGAGCCATTTGGGTGTCTGTTGTTTGGAGGCACCCCCTGTTTGGTGGTTTTCAAGGTAAACCAAAAATAAAACACACACACACACACACCCATGTCCATGTTCAAACTGAATCGAAGCCTTGGAATAGCTTTCATGTCGGCAACAAAGGTCCCCGTTTCACGTGCCGGAACACGTGCAGGTATTGAAGCCCCCCCACCCCTGTTCATCGGGGTCACTCCCACGCACTACCAGAATCGGAGGATGGGAATGCAAATTATCAATCCAGAACTGAAAGCCCACACAAGGATCCCTCATGTGGCCGCAAAGTCCAACACGACCTGTACCGACCGCTTTGAAATTTGGATTAAAGACCTGGAAATAGGAGGCCTAATACCTTTTGGGCCGCTCACTTCAGAGCCTCGAAAGGGGATGCAGGGTGCGATCGTCCTGTGGGCGGGCCTAGAAACATCTCTTCCGATCGAGTGGATTGGTCAGAAAAAGTCACCAAAACTCTTTGTTCACCATTAAAATGGTCCAGCCCCAAAACGTCACTTGAACATAAGTTCAGGAATGCAAGTGGGGAAAACCGTGTCCGCACATCCAAATCCCTTTGCAAAGCACCTTTTACTGGGTCCAAAATTGGGGCTCTCGAATAGTTAAACACATATGGATCCCGTGGCGGCTTCCCTTTGGGACATCCAAGACACGAGTCACTTCGCAGAGCGCGTCTTTTGTCCAGCCCTTGCTGGGCTTCGTTTCCATGGAAGACCATGCAGGGAGTTGCTGAATTTTTGTAAACAAACCCAGCACCAGCTCGCTTTCTGAGTGGATGAATTAGCAAAAAACAAGCTTCAACTTCTAATCTACCCACCAACATGGTCCAAGCCAAAAAAGTTTCAAGTCCAGGAACTCAGGGTTAGTGCGCTGCCGAACGGGAAAGATCCGGCTGCAGCGCGCCCGCGCCGCCTTTTTCCTGGCGCTCTGAAACAATGCCGTCGCCCCTGAGGGGCTACGAAGCCTATGCCACAGGCGCCACGTATGCGTCGCAGGGCGATCGCAGCGTCCGCGGGGCTCGTTTCACCCGCGGAGTCATTTTCTCCAAGGCGTCGAAAATGGCAAAGTCCACCGCTTCCTCAACACCTGTCCCGTCTTTCCTCGGAAGAAACCGACGGCTAAGAAAAAAATACGCCCGCCCCACCCATGCGCGACCCAAGACAGAAGCTGCACTTTTGCCAGCTCGTGCTGAATTGGGGGGGCGGGTGGATGCGTATATGCCGCTTATGAAGAGTACCTCCTGGAGATGCCCAAGGGCCAGGGTGTCGAAATCGTGGCGTTACAAGAGCTGATGGAAATCCTCTTCAAAGCCATGGCTGGTCATGGATGTAGTCACCCCACGTAGTTTGGATCACCCATTCCACGGATCATGATGACACTATATTAGCAATCCATGACATGGGTTTCTATTAGCACCCAAGGACTGCTCACACTACAATGCATTGAAGGGGGGTTGCTAGTCTGTTTTGGCCTTGGTGTCTTGTTCCCCCTCGGGTTTTGTGACGTTACTTTTCTCCAAATCGGAAGCTCTTTCGCGGCTTTGGATTCACTTCCTGAGTAGATTGGCCAACCAAAGTCTGATTTTTTAATTTACCACTACTAGATCCTCCAGTAAAGAGGTTGGAATAAGAGTACCCTTTTTTTCTGTAGTCTATTCCCTCCCCCGAAAAAGAAACGGTAAAAGGGCACCTAGTTGGGGGACCTAGACTCTCAAGTCCATGAACTCGGCCTTTGTGACCACTTCCTGAGTGGATTGGCCAACAGAAGTCTGATTTGTTGATTCACTATTTAAAAAAAGGTCCCTCCCCCGAAAAAGCGACTAAACTAGGCTGAAATTAGGACCCCTGCAACAAATATATTTTTTGTGTGCCTGTTTTTTTTTCTAGGGACCCCCAAAAAAGCAGGAACAAAATGAAGCAACAAGCGGAGCCCAAAAACTGACAAACAAAAGTCCATGAGCTCAAGAGAGCCTAGGCGCGCGGAGGTCTCGAAGTAGACCAGGCCCCGCTCCTCCGCGAACTTCTCTGCCGCCGCGCTGTCGATGCGCCGGCCCAGGTCCACCTTGTTCCCTCAGCGAGAAAAAAGGAAAAAATCCGAGCGGCGCCCCAAAATTCCGCGAGGGTTTTTTGGGGAGCCAACGGCGTAAAAAACAATTCCGCATAGGTTTCAGGGAAACTGAGGGCTTGGGCTAAGCAAGCAAACCACCCCGCTTGGGGAAGGAAACCGCGCTTTTCCGCGTAGGTTTCTGTGGATCCATTTGCCTGGGTTTGTAGGTAACCCAAGGGCGGGAGCCACCCTTCAAAAACATAGCAAGCACATCCTCCGCACGGGGCCCCTCCAGCTCCCACAGGGGTCAACTGGTCGCTGGAGTGTTTTCAGGCCATAAGCCAAAATTGAGCTTTTGGCTGGCTTCCATGCAGCGCGTGGAGCAACAAAAAAAAACGTGTAACGCCGGAGAGACTTTCCAGGGATCCGTCTTTCTAGAAAACCACCAAAAACCCCTGGATAATAAATTGTTTTGCACAAGAATGATGGTTGAAAAGAATGGAGAATCAACCCCTAGAATACGATACGGGAATTGGACGCGGGGATGTCTGAGGACTGCCTATATATAAAGGAAACCAGGCCCAAATGTGAGCCGAAAAATATGCTCACCCATCGCAAGCCCATCCCCACCCAAAACTGGAACCAGCAAAAGTACTCCCCCCACCCCCTGCCCCACACCCACACCCACCCACACTCTCACACACCCACAGACATTTTTGCCTCAGCCACAAAAGGAACACACGAATTTGTCTTGGGGGGTACGGCCCGCCCTCCCGTTGACCACTCACTAGAACTTGCCCAAGAGTCTAGCCTAAGGAACCGTATGGCTGGGAACCGCCCAGTTTGCGAGGTGCAAATAAACTTGCTGGTGCTGTAGGGAATGACTCAAAGTTTGGGGAATGAACCTTGGGTTTCCCCAAAAGGAAACCACAGGGGATTGTTGAGAGGGGTCATTCCAATTCTCATTCCCTACCCAGCGAAGCTCAGAACAACTGTTTATAGGGGCCATTCATTTTCCTAGGTCCTCCAGTAGAGAGGTTAAAATAAGGGTACTCTTTTTCTCTGTAGTCTATTTTAGTAGGGAACCCTCCCACGAAAAAGAAACGGTATAAGGGCACCTAGCTGGGGGACCCAGATTTCTCATTCCCTGCATCTCTCGCACCGATCGCAAGTAAAACGTGGTTGCTTTTTGCTCCCCTGCTAACTTTTAGTTGTTTAATGGAAAACACATTTGTTGGCAAAAAAAAGTCCTAACATCCAAGCAACATGCACCAATGGTCCAAAGAAAATTCACCCCGAGGCGAGCAGCCGATGAGGAGCTTCGTGGGGATCGAGTTGGCCTTCATGACATTCAGCCAGTGGTCGACATCCTCCAAGCCTTCAAGCGGATTCTTCGATTCACATCGTCAGGGGCAGGGAGCCCACTGAAAACAAAAAAAACATTTGGACCCCACAACAGCCTGCAAAAACAAAAACAAAAACAAGAAGAACAACGTCGGATGTGTTTCAAGCATCCCTTTTTCGGGCCAGATTTACATGAGATGAGTTGTGGTGGGGTGATGTCTGAAGGGAAACGAAAGTGATCCCTGTCAATCTTCCCAGCGAACTCTCAACTGAACGCTATTGAGTTTCCCGGTATCGTAGAGTGTGCGAGTGTTCACTTGCATCCTTGGCTGGAATTAGAACCCCAGCAAAAAATATATAGTTTGCCTGGTTAGTGGAAAACAAAGGGAACCCCAAAAAAGCAAAAAAGCAAAAAGGGGAGCTAATTCTGGGGAAGCATCATGGGTGACCCAAAATGGGTTCCAACAAATGGCTTCGCCTTTGCGATCGCGCATGACGGCCCTTTCAACGTGCTGGGAAGCCTTTTGAAGTCCGCGTATCACAGGAAAGCCAGCGGACAAAAACCGAAAGTCATAGATTCTGGCCCAGATTTAGTGAGCCGGGAAATGTAAGAAGCAACATGACAAGAGATCCCGCAAGGGGTAGCATGCCACAAACCAATATCCCAGAAACGTCTTCGCATGTAGGTCGCCAAACGGGGTGCAGGGGTTTCAAAGTATGGCCCCTGCTTTTTTTCGACTGGTCACTTCCGATCGAGTGGATTTGCCAAAGAAAGTTTGAAGTTGTTGTTTCCGACTAAAATGGGTATCGGTCAAAATTACACCGCCAGGAGACCGCATGCTTTCATTTACCAGGGTTCCATTTAAAATAGGTACCTATTTTTGACCCACATCCAAATGGTCCAAACCCAAAAAGTGACGATCAAGTGGAAGAACCGGGACTCAGAGAGTGATAATAGAGTGAGACTCCGGCGCAAAAGAAGAAGCCGCCTGACAGCGCCAAGGGGCAGTCGGGATTGGTCACGTCCATGACTAGCATCACTGCGGTCTTCTGGTTGAAGAACACCTAACAAACATACGCGAAGAAAGCGAAAAGCGAAACGGACACCGCTTGACTTGTTTGGGGCCTTTTGAAACAACGCTGGAGCAAACAGAACACGCGAAAGCTGGGGTCTGAATTGGTTTTATACAGGCGGGACAAGCCCGGCCTGTCGCCCCATTGATCTTCCCCAAAAAGAAAATGGGTTACATACCACAAATGGCAATCCAGGGGTCGCTGGCAATCCAGGGGTCGTTCCCCGCAATCGACCATGAAGGGACCCAGTAAAAATGTCCAAGGCCTCACTTTCATGTGTGTGTGTGTGCAAGGAAGATCCCCCTTACCATAAGGAAGAGGGAGCTGAAGAGGGGGAGTCCCGGACCCAATTCCAGTTATCTAGTCTCGAAATGCGCCCTCCCCAATTCCATATTTACGGGGTTGGGACCAAACAAGGAAGCAAGCTTAGCCTCACTTGCGGCCCTTGCGAATCGCTTAGCACCATTTGCACCGACTCAACACCCAACACGTGAACCAAAATCACACAAGCAAATTTTGCAAAGTGAGAAGTGAATCCTCGAAATCCAAAGCAGAACCGGCAGCGTATGAATTTCCAGGGGTTTCAAGGTACATGAGGGCTGGGTAGTTGAGAGCCCGGGGGGTTCTAGGGTTCTTTGTGGTTCCCTGCCTTCGGAACCTCTTGGGAGGCCCTGGGACCCGCTTGGACCCGACCTTTCGATCTGTGTCGCCTCGGCCTCTCGATATGGCAACCGCTTCCAACTCCAGGGCTTAGCGTGACCCGCTTGTGGATGCCTTCCCTGGACGTCAGCCCACAGTGCCAGTTTATATGCGTATATGTACATATAGGTTACCAACAAGGGAAAAGGTAAACATACTGTTCAGCAACTGGAGCTGTGTTGGGTTGGCTCCATTTGCTTCATTCCTCTGGAAAAATCCAGTAGTGAAATCGATTCCCGAGGGGAAAATGAAAAAAATGTTTCTAACCAAATGGACGCCTCGGCCCCCCAGGAGAATGTAAGGCAGCTCTTGAGCAAATGCAAGGCCCCCTTCCGCGCTTCCGCACTGCCCGCCTTGGGAGTGGGGCGAATGTTCACATGGCCGGCGGGCCAATCCCAAAGAAACAGCTTGACCGGAACGTCCTCCAGGGTTTTACGGATGACTCCAACTAGATCCTCCAGATTTGAGAGGTTAGAATAAGGGTACACTGTGTTTTTTGTCTATTTTTGTAGGGGAACCCTCCCACAAAAAAGAAACGGTAAAAGGGTACTGGGGAACGTAACCAAACTAAAATGCCAGACAATGGACCCGAAGAAAAAGCCACATGGACCATGCTACATGTTGGGCTGATATGAGGCCCCGATTTTTCCTCTTTTTTAACGCACCCAATGGTGGTGTTTCCCTTCGCGCCAACTCCAAAAAGGGCACCAAACAGAAAACAAAAAAAACATGTGCAAGGCGGCCAGCAATTCATGTGCTATAGGCGATGATCATTCTTCACTTGGCAGAATCAAGAAATAGGTGTGGTTAGCACACATTTGGAGACTTCCCAGGAAAGTGCGCCTCAATTGGAGTTGTGCAAACTGATTGTTGCTGTTGATGCTCCACCCCTTGCTGCTTGAGCTTGGCATAGCACGGGGAAATCATTTACCTGCCAAGGGCAGGCTATGGTTGTGGTATTCTTAAAAGGCTCGTAATGGTCTTTTCATCTGTCCAACCCTTGCTAGGCTGGCTTTTTGCAGCCTGCTAAAAATGGACAGAACAAATCGCAACAACAATGGGAACCAAACAACTTGGCCTAAGTTTTCGGGCAACCGTCCCTTACCTGGGACCTGGACCAACGGGTCTTCTTTCAGCTTTCTTGGCCCAGCTCGGAGCTAAACATATCTCACTTCCCGAGTGGAACAAGTCTAAACTTTTGGATGACCACTGAAAGGGTCCAACCCAAAAAGTGACCAAAGTCCAAAACGGGACTCGGGGAGTGAGACACGCAGACTCTGTCGCATATTGAGTCAACCTTGAAAAAGCAAGCCAGCACCCGGGTCCCAACCACTGCTTTGTCGGACGGTACAAAGGAGAGTTTGGGCATGGGAAAAAGCAGGGGGGTCCTGGTATGTCTCCATTTGTGGGTGGTTCACCTTTTTGGGCCATTCACAGTGAAACATGCTGCGGATGGTCGCGAAATCCAGAAAGTGAAAACCATGGAGTTGAAGCCATCCATGTGCTTAAGCCCCCTGGGAAACAAAGAAACGGAACCTATGTCCAACTATGACATCGGTTCCCTTTCATTGCACCAAGGGAAGCCACAAATCGGCAAATGGAAGGTAGCATTGGTTGGTAAGTACATTCGTCGGGGACTTTCTTTTTTTTTGGCCGATGCCCGTCCTCGGCAAGGAGCTTTGCCGTCTTGAATTCCACCCCGTAGTTGCCTTGGCACGAGCGAGGCAAAGGGCCAAGACAGCGTCAAAGGTTGTTTGGGGCTCTTTGCTCAGCTGAGCCGTGTTCTGCTCTTTGCCGGGAAACTTGCAAGGCTCAGGAATTTTAGTGTGCTACAAACTGACCAACACACAGTGGTCCACTTGTGGCGCGATCTGGCTTGTGGCACTGGCGTGCGCAATCCCTGTTGCCTGGAGGGGGAGGGTGGGGGGTCCGGGACCCACTTCCGTTGCTCGAGAGTCTTCCCTATAAAAGGAAGTAAATCCAGTTCCAGGGGTCACCCCCCTCCCCGAATTTCCATTGTTTAAGGGGTGGGGATGGCGGGTGGAAGTATCATAGTGAGTAACAATGACTCCGCATATTCAATAAGCACAGTTGGAACGGATTTGGACATTTTGCCGGGAGATTGGGCCGCATGGGCGGGGGTCTGCGGGATAAGTGAATTGTTGCTCACAGCTAATTACATGCACACATTTATTGCGATTGGCGCAACATGGCGAGCAACCAGTGCTAAGTTTCTGCGGTTGAGGGGACGTGTCGCCAGTTGCCGAACAGAAACCAGGAGTTTCCAAACATAATTCTAGCAACGAGCAGCTAAGTCTGACGCAACACCAGAAAGCTACGAAACTAAGCTGTTCAAACAAAACAGAAGGAAAAGTAAAAAAACAAATGACACCACGACAATCAAAAGGGTGCCAGTCGACAGGCGGGTTGCAAATCTTCTTCAATTGAAAACACTCCTCCACGTACCTCAGGGAACGAGAGAAGGTGGCGGTCTCAGCTTCCCCCCCAATTGGTTTAAGGCCCTGGTTGAGGTGGGGTTTCCCATGCAAAGGGTTCAAATCCCAAGCCACCAATCCAAACCACCAAAGGGTAACCTGAACATGTTGTCCAACTTGGCTCAACTTTACGTCACACCAAAAAACCACAGTTTCGCATTGTGCTTCACATATAGCCAAAGAATGCCAAAGAGTTTACGAGAAAATAATCATTCATTTGGAGGAGATCCTAGAAGAAACCAAAATGTTGTTTCCTGGATTGAGATTGAGGCATCATGAGTTGGCTGTGTGGGCAACTACTGTATCAAGCTGAAGTGAAGGTATGGAGGGTGTGGAGGCTTCCATGCCAATAATGCAAGCTTGCAAGGCAGTTTTGTGGCATACTTGTCTCCATACCTCCAAACCTTATACCTGAGAATGGTGTAGTCAAAAGTAGCCGTACGTCGGTGGGAATCAATGAATCAAATGGCCAGGTCGAAAGCTGCACCGCAAGCAGATCGGAGTTTTTCTGGAGCCTCACTCAGCTCAGCCCAGTTTGGACATGTTTTGACCCGGCAAATTTCTCGGCTTCATCTCCAGCACCCGGGGTCCCTGCTGTTTCCCATGTCCAAAATCCCAACCGTCCCAAAAGGAAATCATCTCTACTCTTGGTATGGTAGCAAAAAACTGTTTTTTTGCAGACCCCCAGTAAAAATGAACAGAACCAAAAAACTAAAAAACCGAAAAACATGCCAAGAACAGTGAAGACACACAAGGCATGGCATAGTTTCCATGCCTCTGCCAAACTTCACTGCTTCACAAAGCACACACTGCTTCCCGCTAAACCCACTAAAAAGATCAAACAAACTAAGGACCCGGAAGGCTGAAAGCCACCTCTTCTTGGTTGACGTCGGGTTTGGGGAGCAAACATTTTCAGATTTTAGCAGTTCAACCACTAAGCTAAGCACAAATACGTAAAACATGTTTCCCAACAACGACCACCTCCAAGGCTCGTTGCGAGCGAAACAGCCCAGAGGGTCCTAAGTACCTCATATTTACGGTTTGGGGTTTGGTTCAAGGGGATTCGTCAATTATAGATTCCTCAAATCCGCAAATATGAGGTACTTGGATTTTCTGGGAAGGGTCGTTGCGAGCGAAAAAGCGCGGTCCTCTTCAAAAAGCTGGACTTCCCCACGGAGTTCTCCCCGCAGAGACCGAAGTGGAGCATTTCCTCGGCCAAAGCGGAGACGACGAGGCGACAGACGACGAGGCGACGCGACGAGCCGAGCCTTGCGATGTGAGGAGTCCGAGGCAAAACCCGCGACTCAGCCAAGTTTGACTCCCCTTAGCAAAAGTAAAAGGTCACAAAAGACGTGCAGTGGTGATAGCTTCCTTTTGAAAACCAAGACGGGTACATGAGCCATGCTCATGGTCATGTCAGCATTTCTTTTCAGAAGACCTTCCGAAACAGAAGAAATTAAAGCGCCGAGCGGCGTAGTCCTCCGGCATCTCGGCCAGACGCTGCACGCGCAGTGCTTGGCACACCAGTTGCAGCTCCAAGGGACCCGCAGCCGGGCCCAAAGACCTTCAGTGCCGAGGTTTCGGGGAAAAAAATACTTCTAGAGCGGAGTCATACCTGGATCTTTCGCCAAGAGCCGTCATTTTGGCCAGCACCTCCAATGTTTGACCCCCATGTTGTTTCTCGGTGTGGGCCATGGTCAAAAACCCGGTTCCGAAACTTGGGGTAAAGCTTGGGATGCCGAAATGACCGTGACGCTAGGCCGGCGCATGTGGGCCATGGGAGATGAGCCCAGTTCAGAGCCGGTTCAAGGAAGGTGGGGTGTGGGGGGGTGACCCCGCAACTGGCATTTATGTCTTTTTCCGGGGAGGGAAAGGGGGGTAAGCCCTTGAAATATTGCAATTGTTGACCCTATAGCAGAATGCAACCTCGCAGAAACTTGTAGCGCTTTTGGTGCGAAGGGTCAACTTTCTCACGGCCATGCTTGGCCGCTCAGAACCCCAAGCAGTCAATAGTTCTCCTCCATAATAAAAAAAACACAACAAACAACATGGAGGAGACCACGGCATCGTGATCTCACCTCCTGAGTGGATTGACCAACCACAATTTTCCGGGCTGTCCTCAGACCCCCCGCTAAAAGTTTGACTTTGAGTGGGTCAAATTCGGCAATCCCCACTAACCACTCAAAGGCTAAGAGGCTAAGGGACCGGATGGCTGGTCTTCCCAGAAACCTCGGGACCCACCCTCGCGAAGCGAGCTGTGAGTGGCTTTCTGCGGGTTTTTGCCCCGAAAACAGCCGAAAACGCCCGCAAAAAGTAAAAAAAACAACAACAAAAAACAAAAACAATCGAGGCTTTTGGCGAGTAGCTTGATGGGCTGGTCGTTCTTCAGCACCGTGCCCTGAAAAAGTAGCTGTCGCCTGGAAGTCCGATGGACTGCCGATGTGCGGGAGGGGAAATGGTCGTCTTCAACTGCCGATTTCCCTCTCGTCACAACGCTTGGTATGATAGCCAAACGTGTCTTCTTGGCAGCCGCCTTCTAAACAATGAACAGAACCAAACTAACAACAAACGTGCCAAGCACGGTGATGCGTTGGTTTCCTTTTGGGACAGCTAAAGCCCAGTGTAGATGTAGACCAACCGTTCCATGGAGCCTCGCAGCAATGGAGAGAGCCAACAAAAGCAACACAAGACACTGGAAAAGTGAAGATCCGCATGAGTGTGTCAATTGTTTCCCAATGCAGTTGCCAAGGTTTGCGTGTTGCCCAGGTATGGGATTTTTCAACCGTTCCCCATGTCCAACTGATCGCCAAAAGGGAAACCCACTGTCAATTGCAGGGTGCAACATGTTTATGTCCAACCTAGAAACGTCACCCCGATCCCCATGAAAACTCACTTGGCCCAAGATGTGGTCTTTGAACGACCAAGAGGGAAACCCGAGCCAGACGACTGTGTGGCTCTGAGGCGAGGTTTGAGAGAGGGCGCCAATTATCTGGGTTGCTCCCTCTGCGCCAGCAAACGAACCATCACCTTGAACATTATGGGGACTGGGGGGGGAAGGAGGGGAGGGGGAGGGAGCCCAAATAAGCACTAAATAAGACCTTAATAAGGGCTAAATAAGGTTCTTTTGGGGCTCCCTCCCCCTCCACTCCCTCCCCCCCAGCCCCCATGAGAACATCATAGAAAAAACTTGTCATTTCTCGGCGGCCCCTTAGGTACCCAGCAATGAAAGGAGATCGCCTTTTGGGGCCGTGGCGGGGGACCTGGACCAGAAAAGGAAAAACAAAAGGTCAGCTTTGAACTGACTTCTGTTTCCAAAACGTCTATGGGACAAAGACCAGACCAAGATATAGTAGCTCTGCTGTGTTGATTTGCTTCAGCAAAACACACTCTACAAAGCAGGGCAAACCGAAGCAAAGGGGATAAAAAGTGAACAAGTAACTGCGTGATACGCCCAGTGTTGATTCCACGAAACGACACTGTTTGGGGAGGAGGGGAGAGGAGGGCAGGGTAGGGGAGGGGAGCGGAGGGAAGGGGAATTGAAACTCTCACTGCCTCAGTGGATTGGCAAAAAACCTGAACTGTTATTTACCGCCAACATGGTCAGTAAGAACAAGATCCCATCGCCAAAAAAGGGGAAAGTGTCCATTTCTTGGGGGAACCTCCCCATAGTGGACCATCCTCACTGCTTTGTCGTTTCAAGCGGGTTTCCGTTGGTTATCATCACAGACATTTGTGCTGATTACTTTTTTGAGGAGCCCAAATGTTCAACCTTTGGGGGGCCGCTCAAAATGACCAAAGAGAAACCAAAAAATCAGATCCGGTCGATTCGCTTTCACAAGTGAGTGGCAACCACAACAACTGGGTTTAAGTGTCCAAGTAGGGGAAACCCACTTGAAAGGGTGGTTTCCTTCTGCTCCCGTTGGGCCAAGCCCGAACCACAACACCACAACCATTGCGCGCCTCATGCGCTTTTGGGCGCGATCTTCCACCAGCGGCAAGATGTCGCCAACGAGGGCGGTCTCGGGCAAATCCACCTGCCGAGTTCGTCTCGAGGAACTGGAGCAATGCCCACCAGTGGGCCAAAAACAAGCACCGCTCCTTACATGTTTTAGCTGGTTCCTTGGATTGTGGAAGGGGTAAAAAAAGAAAAACCTCCCACACAGCCCAAAACGGAACCCTAGCTTCTTAGAGGGGCTTAGGTTATGAGAACTTCTCTCGTGGAGCCCTGATGTTGCTCCTTTACTCTTGTCCTACGCAAACAACCAGCAACCCTACCCACCCTTGGCCCCCAAACCATTGAGGCCTTATTTGGCCATGGGTCAAAATCCCGTACCCCCAGTGAACATCCGAATCCCCATTGAAATAAACTAAAAATGGGTGGTGCACCTACCCCAAAATGATACCAATGGGTTTGACCCACAGCCATTTGGCCCTGGCAAAAACATGTGGGCCACGCGACCCCGGGGGGGCGGGGGGAAGGCGGGTGGAGGTGGCACCAGCATGGGTGTTTCTTTGTTTGAGGGCACTCCTTTCCGGTGGGCGTTGAAGGAAACCACAAAGGAACCAAAAGGTCTAAACCTAAATCCTTACCTCAGTGACCTTGAAATACAAGGCAATCACCATTTGGGGCCATGACACAAATTGGGTACCAAAAACAGACAACCAAAAGGTCAGATCCAGTCGATTCGCTTCTTTTGGTTGCAACTGAGCTGCTTCTTAGACTATTGTATTCGGGGCAAGGCATTCTACGAGTCGTACTCCCGAATGATGGATGCACTTGAGACGCTCCTCCCGGACCCTTCCCGGGTTGACTCGGTTGACATGAAGCTGTCCTGCAAGGGCTCGACGAGTCAAATGCCTAAACCTGTCACTGAGAAATCTGGAAGTGGTCTTGCAGGTTCTGGGGATGGTGTCCCATTTAACCTCAGAACCAGGTCTTCACATTCATACCAACCAATCCAAACCGCCACTTACCCAGCTATTCAGTGAGAAAAGCATGGAATCTGTTTTGGGGTCGCCGGATTGAAATTGAAGCCGTTAATATATTACTCAGGAAGCTCGAAACCCATCAAACATGTCAGATTCATCCATCAGTTTGCTTCACCTTCTCCATTTGCTTAAGTCCGTTGAACAGGAAAAACAGTAGTCAGCCAGACTCACCCAATTTCAGCCATGGGAACCCCAAATGTCAGGCAGACTCACTGCTCTTGGCCCGCCCCGACCTAGCCTCGCCAAGTAGAGCGCCTGAGAGTTGGAACACCCGCACCGAGTACGCCATTGAACACGCCGGGCCGAGGGGAAAAGTAGCGGCGGAGGTCCGTTCTGGTTCTTATGCATTGCTCCGGAGAGCCGGCAGCGGATCGCAGGCTGTTGCTGATGCATCGTTGGAGCTGCGTTGTATGCTGTACATGCTGATGCTGCTCGAGAGCTTTTGAGTCAAGAGATGGCGAGGGTTTGTTCCTGGCGGCCGCTGTGTTGGGCCGAAAAATGCGCTCAGGCGCAAGCTGATGCCGCCACCGATGAACCTCTTGCAGGCAAATTGAAACCGCACCCCACCCCCCCCCTATTTGAGGGAGGGGGGGGGGGGGTTGGCACGGAGTTCTGCTTGCAGAAACCTGTGCTGCGACAGCATGTGTCCAAATGTTTCAACCATGGGGCGGTCGATCCCAACAAGTGGCTGCGCACGCGCCCCGGCTTCAAACCGCAAGCCGAAGAACCAAAGATTCGGAAAACGCAAGCCCTTTCTTTCTGCCTTGATTCACATCTTTAACTCACTTCCTGAGTGGATTGGCGCAAAAACAGTCTAACTCTTTGCTTGCCACTGAATCAAATTGCTGTTCCCAAAGCTCAGGTTTCGAGTTAACTTAATTTCCCATGCCCGTGTTGCACGTTGAAAGCCAGATTGACCGTGGCGAATGCGTGCGCGTGTAGCTACCGTGTTTAGGCGTTAAACATGTTCCGTAGAGAACCCACCGAGCACATTGTCCCTGACTTCCCTCCAATACCCGGATTTTGATTCTGCGTCAACTGGATGCTGGAACGCATCCCTCTCGCCTGCGGCATGCCCACGGTGCTTGCCTGCGGCTCCTGAGGCAAGTCGCGCGAAGCGGGAGAACGCGTCGCCAGAACTCGGCGGTTGGGCAATCAATCGCCAGAACGCGTCCCACGAAAAAGGGTAAAAGGGCTCTACTGGGAAACCTAGTACTGGTGTGTCTTTTTAGGGGCCCCTCCTCCTCGAATGGTGCTTCTCCTTTTGTCTGCCCTTCAAACCCGCAAACAAATGGGTACTTGGATGTCCGTTGCCGAGATAGAATGTGGTTTGCCTGGGATATAACCCAGAGTCAATTTCACTGCACGGCAAATAAAGTGTGTGATCAGCTAGGCTACCAACATCTTACTCACCTGGCCGAACAGCCAAGTAGGGCCTTACAGCAGGGTCTCATGATGAATCATGAAAACGTGCTCATACATCCTGCGTTTCTTTGCACAGGCTCATGCATCCAGTTGCCTGTGCTTTGGCACATGCTGACTCAGGAAACACTGTGAATGGACATCGACCCCCTGTAAATACCAACATGGCGTCCCATGATGTCAAACTGGTAAATGGATTTAGCAACCATCCACTGTATTGTGACTATGCAGGGACAAGGCTACCATCTCAATTCATGTTGGATGTTTGAGAACAACTCTGGCTGTCCTCAGATCTGCTAAAAGTGCATAACGTTTGGTAGGTTCAATGGAAACCGATGGAAACCCAAACCACTAAACCAACTAAAAACAACCAGAAACCCAAAAGAAGAACTCTTTTCCTTTCATGCGGATGTGGGGAGTCCGCTCATTTTGAGACAACCCTTTGCACCCGCAAACGTCAACGCACAACCCCCCCCCCCAAACCAACAAAAACTACTGCAACTAGCCAACCAACCAACCAACCAAAAAACCAACCAGCCAGCCAACCAGCCAGCCAGCCAGCCAGCCAACCAAATCAGGCTTCAAACAACTAACCAAAACCAAAGACAAATAAGCCCAGGTGATATCCCCAGCCCAAAGGGGACCCCCCCGGGAACCGATCTCCCCGAACAAAACATATTTGGGCAGAGACCAAATGCATAGCTTTCAGCCGAGAAAAACGCACTGCAATTAGCTCAAATGCCCAGCGGATTTGGGGACAAATATGTGCGTCCTGTTTTGGTTGGTTGACTTTAAAGGAAAAGTTGGTTGGTTTTTGGTTGGTTGTTGCTTTTTGCTTTTTTTTTGTCGCTATTTTTGTTTTTTGGTTGAAAACAACGGGGTACCACTGGGCAAAACTGCAAAAAAGCTGCTGAGCCCTGCCCTGAGAACTACCCGACCTCTGTGTCCGAAGAATCCGTCCAGAGGACTTCGTGGCGAGCAAGAGAACGAAGACATACTGTGGATGGACGAAATCCGTTCGCACCACCTAAAAAACGGTAGAATGATGAGACCTCCGGAAATACCAAGAAGCAATGGCTTCCCATGGTTTCCACGTGGTGCGAAATGGATTTCGTCCATCCACAGTATGGAACCTGAATCACCTAATGACCTCCAGTTTGGTCTGCCAGGCAAGATGTGCAGGAACAGGGGAACCCATATATATATATAATATAATACTGGGCTGCCCTCAGATCCCCTGCTAAAAGTTTAACTTTTAGTGGGCTAAATAGAAACCCCCACTAAACACTAAAAACAAAGCGAAGGGGATGGCTGGGAGCCACCAAGAATATGCATGCATATGGGTAGCACTGCCCCCATCATGCTATGCGCATAATTCCTGGCTTAAAAAGAAGCAACCCCAGAAAACTGAATGACAGCCCAAAATCAGGGGCTCAGCCTATACCAGGTCTGTTTTGGGCGCTTGCCAAGCAGCTTCTCTTCTTTTAGGGTTTTGGTCTTGCTAACCTGATTCAATCAAAAAGGGTCACCTTTTGCGAGCCTACACAAATAAGGCCCAAACTCGGATACCAGCCACAGTACTTCCATTTGCTCAAGTCCGCAAGAAAAAACAACTCTAGTAGTGAAATTGATTCATTTCAGCAATTGGAAGATTAGACTCGCTTTGAAGCCGCCTCCCACGCGCAAATATCACCCGGTGCTTTCCCTCACCTCCGGAAGCGCTCCCGGCGCCGCTGGGCCCGGCGTTGCTTCCGGCGTTGCAGCCCCCGCCTGGTGCTCCGCTCCCGTCGATCGGTTTTTCGGGGATCCTCTGGTTGCTCCCCCCCCCCCCCGGCCGCCGTGTCGGATGTCCTTTAAAAAACCACTCGGGCCTTTTCAAGTGGAGTCTTTTCATTCTCAGTGAAATGTTTATAATTCTTCAAGGCTGCATAAAATCCACAAAGAAGGATGGAAGTGGAAGTGGAAGTTTGGGTTGCCGTTTCAAGAGGACGGTCTTCCAAAGCCCGGCTTTTTACTATTCTTGGAATGAGGGTTTGACACTAGGTAGAAAAAGAGAACTGGAACAGGCCAGGACCGACAAATGCCACTGAACAACTGGAGTGAGATTCTCCGCGGGGCCAAGGGCACAGTTCTGGCTGGTTCACCCAGGAGCTGACACAGGATTTGGCTGTCAAGGTCATCCAACAGCTTCTGGATTTCCGGGTGTGGGAGGTGTGTTGGTTTTCATTGGCAATCTACCCACAAGTGCGCTTCTAGGGGAGTCCGCTTCTGGTTGTTGGTTGATCCATTCAGCGGGCTATGTCCCTTTAAAAGGAGACAGGCTTTCAAGTGTCATCCTTTCCCAAAGTGAGAATATAGGAAGCCCTGCCAGTTTACAGGAAACCCAAGGAAAGGAAACGTGGATAATATCCTCCAGTAGGGAGGTTAGAATATGGGTACCATGTTTTATTTTTTTTAATGTAGTCTATTTCAGTACAGTAGGGTCCCGAACCCTCCCAACCAAAAAAGAAAGGGGTGAGAGAGGGCGGCTCTGGGGGATTGGACCGGTGAGCAACAAACATGCGAACCCAAATCCAGCTCCCCCCGGCCATGAGGTGGAACCGTGTCATGTGGCAAGGTCTCAGTTCAGTGACCCTGCAGAAAAAAAAGGAACCCTTTTCTTGGTTGACGTTGGGTTTGGGGAGCAATAAATAATAGTTTTAGCAGTTAAGTGGTTGGATTTCCCACTAAGTCATAATAAGCAAAAATGTAGAATGTTTCCCAACAACGACCATGTCTTTGGGGAAGACCCCTTTTTAGTGGGGCAGTCACCAAAAAAAGGAAAACATGGTGCCACTGAACAACTGAGAGGTTGATATCAAAGCAGTACCCCGGTTGCTCTCTTCCATACATTGGTGCAGATGATGCCAACTTCTCGCTGGGAAAATTGGGTGGCCTGAAATGATGATTTCTAAACTCACAAGCGTGCGCCCACACTCAGCTCTGCCATCGACATGAGAGGTAAGCCGACGACACGGCCATAAGACAGTTTTTTCTTGGCCAACCCAATCTATATCTCCAGTTCCTGCTTTCGTTGAGGCACCATGAACGACTGTTCGCGCCTATTCTATGCAATGAAACGAATTGGTTCAATCGCCCAAAGCAGCTTTACAAAAAACAAGTTTCACTTTTTGCGGCCTTGACAAAATACTGTGGATGGACGAAATCATGCACCAGATTGAAACCAACTTACGTGGGAATCGAATCATTTCCATGGCTTCTTCGGTGCCAAATGGATTTCGTCGACCCACAGCACGGACCAAACACGAAAAACCCAAAGGTGAAACCCAGTCGATCCGCTTTGGTTGCAACCTAACATATTTACAGCAGTGATAGATTCCCAACGAATCTAACCGGAGAACATATACAATACCCTTCCGCAGACTAGCATGGAAGCTCCCAGGACCCCTTTGGAAGACTTCGTTCCATTTACAGAAGCCTTCTGGGAGCTTCCATGTTAGTCTGAGGGAGTGATACCTAGGCTGGAATTAGGACCCCGGCAAAACAAAATGTTTTGCCTGGTTGGTGGAAAACAAAGGGAACCCCCAAAAAACAACAAAAACTCGAAAAGGGGAACTAATTCAGCAAATGGAAGCAATTGAGTTGCTCAAACCACACCTCCCCCGCCAGCTTCAAGGGCTTCTTGCTGGAATCGTTGGGTTCCTTTTGGCCGTCTTGGCTACCCTGCTAAAAATCCCCTAAAACCAAGTACCACTTCCCTACTCCTGGGCTGTCCGTTTTCTGATCCCCTGCTAAAAGTTGTTAACTTTTGGTGGGTTAAATCGAAACCCCCGCTTTCCACCGAAAGAAGCTAAAAAGCGAAGGGATGGCTGGGAAGAACCACCAAGAAACTAGTGAACACATGATCACGTCAGAATTGCCAAGTGGCTACTCTTGAACATCGTCACA